ACAGCTTGTCAGTCAGTAGATGAACATTTATTAAGCACCTACTACATACCAGGCACTGTACTGAGCAATGGTGATACAAAAAGGGGCAAAAGTTGGTCCCTGCTGTGGAGGAACTCCAGCACTGGTCTTAGGGTTCAAGGTAGTATGGTTAGCAGGTCTGAAGGTGGGGACTTGAACCTGACTCTAAGGTCTTTCCAATACACCACACTGACCATTTTTCAATCGGTGCTACTTCTAATCCAGAGCTGAAGGGCTATCCAAGTATTCCTGGATCAGCTCCCCACCAGGAGTCACTTCTACAGATAGGAGTGAAGCCATGTATGGAGCCCATGGCAGCGAAGGGTCCCACCAACATTCTTACCTCTACTTACTTCTGCTCATTCCCTTACCAAAAATTAACCTGTCCTTTAAGGCTTAGCTCCAAATCTTTCCAGACTCTACCAGCCCATACTGACTTCCCACACCTCTGAAATTCTGCCATCTTTCTAGTCTGTACAGTAACCGGGTCATTTTAGCATGTGACTATACACTAGCCTATCATTCTTCCATCTTTTCTGTACAGATTATAAATTCAGAAGGCAGGAAACTAGGCCTTATATTTCTCTTGTAGCCCCCATAGTACCTAGGTCAGTGTATGGCACGTCCTGGATGGGTCAATAATTAATTTGTTGACGGTGCTTGAAAGGGATTTTTTTTAGGGCATGAGATTAAGGCCATGAAATTGGAGGATTAAAACTCGACAGTCTCCTTAACAAGTCTTGAGCTGGGTCTAGAGACCTTCGAGGGTTAAAACTGCTAAGAGCTACAGGCATTAAGAGTTTGGACAACAGAATGGAATGAGGTGGTTGGCCTAGTTATTGGTTCCTTGTTATTCTTCTCTCACCTCTTTGACAGCTGGTTGCGCAAACTTCCTGAGTGGCTGATTTCCTATCAGCAGATTTTCCAGGCAGAAAGGATCTTCCCTCAGCCCCAGTTTGCCAAACAAGGAAGCCTAGTCTTGGTTTTACCAAATAAAAATTGATGAGGACTGATCACAGAATCACAGTATCTCAGAGTTGGAAGGCACCTCAGAGACCTAGGCCCCTGGACAAAATGCCTTTCTACAACACTGCCAACAAGTGGTAAGGGGAAAAAAACCTCCAGTGAGAGGGAACCTACTCCCTTCTGAGGTAGTCCGTTTGGTTTCTGAATGTTAGGAAGGTCTCCATTACATTGAGCCAAAATCATCAAGCAGAACAAGTCAGTCAGTCAACAAGTATTTACTAAGCACCTACCATGTTACGTGCCAAGGACTGTATTGAGTTCTGGGGACATAAAGAAAGGCTAAGATGCCACACTGCCTTTAAGGGGCTCCACCCCTATCATGCTTCCTCTGAGACTTCTCCAGGTTATCCCTGTCCCCACACCAGTTCTTTTCATCAAACCTCATCTAGCCATGGTCTCCAGTTCCCTCTTGATCAATGATCACCCTCCTTTGGTTGCGTTCCAGCTTGTCAATGTCATCGTAAAATGGTAGTACCCAGGATTGAACATGATACTGCAAGTGTGGTCTGACCAGTGCAGAGGGAATGGGGGCTTCTCCTCCTTCTATTCTGGACACTATGCTTCTCAATGTGGCCTAGAGCTGAATTAATCTTTTTTGGCTTTCAACTTATATGGTGTTCACTTGACTCCCCTAGTCTTTTTCATGGCAACTGCTGTCTAGGTGGTAATTCAGGAGGAAGAGATGCTTTCTGTGTGCTTGTAAATTTGATTTTTTGAATCCAAATGTAAGATTTTACGTTCATCCCCATTAAGTTCAATTCGATTAAATCTAGTCCACTGTTCTATCCCATCAAAAATCTTTCAAGATCCTGATTCTGTCATACACTGTGTTTTCTAGCTCTCATCTTTATGACATCTACCAGTCTAATAGTCTTGCTATTTCAATGTTCAATTTCAATTACAGCACGCTAAATCTGTTATCTAGCTGGCCCCAAGCCCCCAGATTTCACCCCTCATCCATCTTTTCACCTTGGCAATCTTGCCATTTGTCCTTCCCTCACCTAATACAGTACCTTTAGCCCTGGCCACCATAAAAAAATTCCCACTCTCCCTAGGGAAGCTGATCTTCGGTTTTGGAATTCAGGCCCTGAATCATGCTGTCCTGATTGGTGAGTAACTATACATTCAATTAGCCTACTATCTCTAGTCAGCCTTGGACCACCAGGTCAGGCTATGCTTCATACCTCATCTGGTCATCCTAACATGACATGACCAGCTGCCATGATGCCTCTCCCTTCTTCCCACTTTGTCTGGGTTCAAAAATCAAGACTACCATAGTTCCTGTCCTCATCTCCCCTGTCTCCCCCTATTAGAATATAAGCTCCTTAAAGGCAGGGGCCATCTCAGTCTTGAGTTTGTATCCTCAGCACTTATCACAATGCTTATCATATAATAAGGGCTTAATAGTTTTCATTTCATTCATTCATATCAGAAAAAAACAACTGAGCAACATAAGATGGAGGACAGATCACCATGAAATTCAACTGAAGATATTCCTCCATCAACCCATAAATTACTCCTCTTTGGGTGTCATCATTCAACCAGAGTCCAACTAAGGGTATTATAATCAAACCTGCATCTTTCTGTCTTGTGTGGGAGACTATGCTTTCCTGATACCTGGGTACACTATGATTACATCATTCCTTGGATCTACCAGTCTGGTTACCCTTTCAAAAAAGGAAATGAGCTTAGTCTGGCATGACCCATTCTTCACAGTCACATGGGTTTGTAAAGATCATTGCTTCTCTTTTTAAATGCTCACAAATATCCCTGTATGTTCTAAGATTTTGCCAAGAATTCAAGAATGTGCTAAGACGTAGTCGATCCGCCTCAGGTTTACAGATGTACTGCTTCCTGAACTACAAGCTCTCCAGAAAAGGTAACTAAATTTATCGGGGTCTTAGGAGCAGCTGCCATGTTCTGGATTACAGAATGTCAGAACTAGAAGCAACCAGCTCCACTTCTTTATCAGGTCTCTGAAGCCAGGGCTAGAACCTGAGTCTCTCGACTTTCAATTCAGCAGGTGAAGCACCTCCTATGTGCCAGGCACGGTGCTAAGTGCTGGATTGTGGATTGAGAGATGGAAGTGACTTCAGAACTTAACTAGTCCAGGCCCCTTGCTTTGAAGATCAGGACTCACTTGCTCAGGAGAGTTGGGAATTGACCCAGCTACACAATACCACATTGCTGCCTCTCTTAGAAGGTCCACAAATTAGTCTTTAGATTTCTTTTCTTGCCTGTACTGACGTAAGGGGATGAGCATCCGAAGAGGGGGGAGAGATTCATTAGCTATTACAGTGTTTCAAAAAGTAACAGTAATAGCTAATATTTATATAACACCTACTATGTGCCAGGCACGTGCTATGCACTTTTCAAATAGTCTCATTTGATCCTCACAACCACCCTGGAAGGTAGGTGCTATTATTGGCCCCATTTTACAGATGAGGAAACTGAGGCAACCACCGGTGAAGAGACTTGCCTAGGGTCACGCAGGTAGTAAGCTAGTAGAAGCTGCTCTTCTTCCGGCCTAGCCTCACGCTCACCATTTCTTACTTAACTTTCAGGTAAGAGCAATTGAAAAATACTGGCTTTTGACCGACTGAAGGCTCCTTCAACTTTTTTTTAAAGTTAAATATCTTGTTTTTTATGTGGCTTTCATTTCTGAATTCGTCTTTCATGCTAGTGTTTCATGGATGCTTCATACTTGGAAAGCATTCTACCTCGTGATTTTTTTTCTTTGAATGTTCTATGCATCATGGTTGTTTATGGCCAGAATCTCCTGGATAAGACCTTCCTTCTACATTGTGATCAGCAGAATTCCACTCAGGAATCACAGTTGATTTCAGTGATGTGTTAATTCCAGAAATAAAGAATAAAACTGAGCTTATTTTGTGGCTGAAGTCAATCAGACTGCAGAAAACATACAATAATAGGCTTCCCCTAAGTAAGCTGTACCATCCTGGACAAATCACTTCAGGTGATTGGATTACAGAGGCAGTGTGGGGTAGTGGATAGTGTTGGATTTGGGAGCCAGGAGTACTAGGATTCGAATCCTGCCTCAGACACTTAGCTGTGTGACCCTGGGCAAGTCACTGAATGTCTGTTGGTGTCTCTGATTCCACATTTGTAAAATAAGGCGACTGAATTCAACAACCGCTACAGCCCCTTTCAGCTCTCCATCTATGATCTTATAGGTCTCAGGTTTTACAACTGAAACACAGAGTTGGTTTGATTTAGACAGTGATGAATTCTAGAGCTAGAAGGCACTTCATGTGATTGCCTGGTCCAGTTTTAGGGCAGTAGGTATTGCTATCCCCATCTGCCACCTCCATGCCTTTGCACACACTTGCCTGGAATGCACCACTGCCTCACACTGAATTTGGATTTGTCATTTGCTTTAAGGATCAATTCTGGTTTCATGTTTGAGAAACCACTGCCAATTTCTGTAGCTGACAAATTATTTTGTATTATATACTGTGCAAATGTTGTATTCCCCTAGGAGAATGTAAGCTCCTTAGAGGCTGGGGCTATTTTTAAAACTTGTATCCTTAGTTTTTTGTACAGGGTAGACATACCACCACCAATGTCTATATACTGGGTGTGTGTGTGTGTGTGTGTGTGTGTGTGTGTGTGTGTGTGTGTGTGTGTGTGTGTGTGTGTGTGTGTGCGCGCGCGCACGCGCGTGTGTGTTCTCATTTTGAGTCTCACAATAATCCTATTACATCGCTACAGTCAGGCCAAGTCGACCTCCATCCTGTTCTGCCGTTGCCTGTGCCACCTGTGAGCTGATACAGCTGTGGCCCGAGTCGGCTGGACAAGATGATTTTTAAAGGTCCTTCTTGCTCTGAGGCCTTTCAGTATCTCATAACTAGCAATGATAATAACACCGCCCAGGCCAAAACTCATTTGGAGTCATGCACAAGCCTGTTAGGGAATAATTTCACAGATCAAAGAGAAAAGAGCTCAGTTTGTTTAATTTGTAGACATGGTTAGGTTTTGACTAGTTACAGTTCTCATCACATGAAGGGGTTCACCACGGTGTAAAAACAACACAAACTGCTTCCTCTATTACATTTAACCAAATAAAATGACCACTGCTCAGCCCATAATGTGTGTCTGGATAAAATGAAATCAGCAACTGCCCAGGTCACTATATCAAGCAGTAAATTGCTATTTATTTACAATAATCCCCAGGGAACAGAGTGGTTTGATCAAGAGTCATAATAGAGGGCACAGATTATAAATTTCCAAAAAGTTGGATTGCAATAAAATCCACTCAGCACTAGGAGAAGACTGACCATCACTGAAGCTGCCCTTGATGATTCAGAAGGCACATCAGAACAGGGGTGGAGGGGTGAGGGTGGGGGCATGGCATCACCATGGATACCAATTTTCACTGTAGATGTAGAAGGTGGGGCTGATTCCTTGACACATTCCAGAAACTGTGGCTTCCAGTAAGCTGCTGATCAGAACAATGGGGGTGGGGATCAGAAGACCTGGCCCCCCATCGTGGCTGCACAACCTGGGGAAAAAGTACCAAGTCCCTGTAGTCTATCCTGGCAAAATGGGGGCAATAGCTATTGCTGGCATGCCTGACCTCATAAGTACTTTGTAAACTGTAATGTGCCACAAAATGTGAGCTCTAGTCACTGGAGGACCAAAAGAAAAGACTTCAAAGTTCTTTGGACTCTAGAAAAAGATCAGCTGCACCTAATGTTATTTACTGAGAAATGGCACCTTTCTGGCAAATGTTCAATCTCGCTATTTGTTTATGCTCTCACTATCTGGCTTTCCCTTCTTACTGACTGCTATTACCAGAGATGTAAGCTGGAAAATAAGTTGTTTTTTAAAACAGTTCTCCCCTGCATCACGTGAAAGGCTTTACTTCTTGTGACTTCAAACAAAAATGGGAGACAAATTCAGACACAAACAGGCCCTACTTAGGTGTCCAGTCCATGCTCTTCTTTATTCTAAGCTTTTCAAACACAAACAAAAAAACTCTTTCGACTTCTTCGAACCCCAGCAGTACGCTGGAGATGCCAGTGTTGGTTTACTACCGCCTGAGCATTCAAAAAAGAGATGTCCGCAGCTCCTTTCTGAACATGCCTTCAAAGTGGAGATCCTGGGCCATTAGCTCTTCTTCAACATCATCTAGTGCCCACTGATGATCAGTGAGCTCCAAGGCTTCCCACTCGGTCTGTGAGGAAAGAACGTGTCAGGCACCAGGTCTGTGAGCTGAGCGAGCACAGCAGGACTGGGGAGGTGGTGGGCAGCGATGGGGGCAGGGAGCGGGGGAGGCGTCTGGAGGGCACGCCCTTTCTACTTAAATGGTATGGAGGCTCCTTTAAGGCCTCTGTGAAGGTTGTCTCAGCATAAGCTAAGCCAGAGTGCTGGCCCTACAAAAGAATGTATGATAAACCTCATTACACAAGACCTAAATAGTTTGACATTAATTAAACCAGAGAAAGAAAGATTTGCTAAGAAAACAGGATGAATTCTCTTTAAGTGCTTCTATGCAAACGGCCCTGCTAAAATACTTAAATTTACTGATTACAAATGAGTAATTTAGTGCTTAAAGCAGGTTCAGCAGAACCTTACTCAGTGTGAAAGTTATTAAAAGTCCTTTAAAAAGATAATTTTAGATTTCGATATTGGCCAGCCCTCTGGTTCACTTAGTGAGGTTTTACTGCAAATAGAAACAAAATTAAACAAGTTTAATAATTTAGGATGTGCCCTCTGCTACACAAATAATCTACAAAAATCTATTTTTTTTCTCTATACAATTCACCTCTTAAATCCATTTTATGCAGTCAATTAGAAGACTTGATCCTTAACCAGGCCTTCTGTATCAGAATGAATTTAATTTCGTAACTAGAATCAAACTTGGCCACAAACATACAAAATGAACACAAAGATATAAAGATGGATGTTCCCAATGCAAGAAGAGATGTTTAAATGGAAATTTTGTGTTCAGAATCATATAAACACACTAAGATCTCACTTTTTAAAAGGAATTCTGTGGCAGGTTTCTTTGAAAAGCAAAGAAGCTGTACGCATTACTGAACAACACAGGTATTGCTGTACACTTCGAAGCCCATCTTCTCCCTGCCCCAGAGGAATTCGTGACTACCTTAAAAGCTTTGTTGGTGTCTGCAGGCATGGCCATTGCTGCTCCTGTCATCTGCTCCTGCATCACTCGAGACTGGTCTGCAGCTGCAACAGAATGCATACAAACAAGACTAACTTAAGAGAACTAGTCCACCCTTTTCACTTTTCTAGGGCTTCTCAGGTGCCTCACCTGCAAAATGAGACACCCAGGCCCCTTCAAGCTCACAAAGGGCATGAGAGATGTAAACTCAACATGAAGGATCAACTCACATATGTGTGCGTTTATATGTGTATATGAAAGGTCAGTTGATATCTCGCCTCCCTTAAATACCAACTATGGCTCTCGGATTGCAGATAAGTCACCTGCACCAGTATCCATGCTGACCCAGTATGCCCTTGCCTGCTCTAGGAAGCTGAATGCGTGCTCTGCACGTAGGGCACTTTCTGGGAATGCCTCATAACTCCACACCTTGATCTTAGAATAAAGGTAAGAAACTGGTTACTGGGTGTTAGTTCTGTTGGGTCATGAAGACCCCCTGACTACTAGGTATTTACTGACTCAGGTATCTGGTCGGACCTCAAATCCTGATCTCAGGTGTTTAAGGAGAGAAGCTGCAGAAACTGACCTGATCATTGGCATTATAAAACCCTGCATACTCTGATCTCCAACAATTACATTCCATAATGGCTCTGAGCTCCTATGTGCCTATGTAGGGCTTTAGCCTGCCCTGTGGGGGCTGCCACGCTTATCCGAGCAGGGGCAGTCAGCACTGCTTAACTTCCATTGGGAAGCCTTGTGTATCTGACTATAACCACAGGAACTTATAGACATAGCATCAGGGCCTACAGAGCGTTAGGAGAAAAGCTTTTAAAACTAATATTAGAATACAACCTGAGAAGTCACAATCAGCATCCCCCTCTGCCCCCAACACACAGATATTTTTAAAAAGAGAGGCCCAAACATTCTTTGTTAAGTTATACACAAAATCAGCAAAGGAGCAGCTGCAGACTGAGTTTCAACCCCAGTCAGATATCACGGGGAGGGGTGTGTGAAAGAGAGTGAGGGATAGGCAAGAAAACAGGGAGAGAAGAGAGGGTCATGTGAGGGAACAGGGGGAAAGGATGGCCCTAGGTCTGGGGGAGAGGGAAGAAAAACTACTTAAACATGGAGGCTCTTGAGAGCTGTGATGGGTCTGCTCCCTCTGAAGGCAGGGAGTCTCATTAGAAGTCTCCTAGTAAAGACTAGATAACTAGGGCAGGAAAGGGAGACATGAGACACGGTGGCTTGTCTGGGGGAAAGAGAGATAGCAAATCTGCATTTTCTGATAAAAACATTTTGGTTACACTTATATCCTCTTGAAAGGAACTGTGCCTTATGCTTTAATTTAAAAATCTCTTGCTGAAGATGCCTCCCTCAGTTTCCCCATCTGGAAGAGGAGAGGGTCTGCTCCAGCTCTATAGCTATTTTCCTGAGACTACCCGGCCCAAGGTCCCCTCCCCCTTCGAATCCGCCACCTCCACAGCCTCACTCTGCATCTCCTGCTCCCTAGGCAGCCGATACCCCAAGGTGCTATCTCCAGCCATCTCCTCTTCTTTTTTTCTACACTCTGCCTCCTCATCTCCTGTGTTCCCATAGGCTCAAATTTCATCTCTATATAAATAATGCCCAAAGCTATAATTCTTGAACTCCAGTTTCATATTTTCAACTGCCTGCTAGACACCAGCCAGATATTGTATCTGCATTCCAACTCAACATGTCCCAAACAGAACAAATTCTCTCCCTGCCCTCACTCCCTCAATCAGGAGAAATATAACTTATTTCTTTGGTTAACTACAACTGTTGAGGGAATGATGTCTTCTTGGTAAACAAAAGGTAATCAATCTTCTGTTTAAACTTTTTTTCCTTTAACTCTTCTTAATGGAACTTTTTTTTCCCCAAATAGATCATTTATTTCCCTGCTTTAGTGAAAAGGGCACAAAGATCAGGATTTAATTTTTTCTTGATGGCTCAGGGTCATTATTATGAACATCCATTTTACTGTCCTAACACATGTCAGAGATATGGAACATTGGGCTGCAAACATACAGAGTTCAAAAGAGACCCTGGAACTTGCTCTACTGACCAGAAAGCAAATCGCTATCAGGTACATGGTTGTGTACCTTTAAAAAAAAAAAGAAGTATAACCCATAGCATCCTTCTAGGTAACAGAACAGTATGGGTTTTCTGCCAAACGAACTCTTAAATTAAAGGCTAAAGCAATTTTTTCCCTTCTTACCTTCCCTCAAAATCTACTCTTTTTTCCCCCGAAAAATAATGTCATCTGCCTCCTAAATGGCATCCAAAACCTTACCTCCGCTTCATCCAGTACTTAGTGGACTCATACATACTATGTGTGAAGCATGTACCATGTCAAGCACTGAGGGCAGAGGAAGGCAGAGGCTTTGCTCTCACAATGTTCACAGACTAATACCATCAGAAACAACAAACCCTGCTTCAGTCACCTTGTCTCAGTCTCCTCTTCTTTAATGTGACTGGTGTAGCATAAAGGAAGAATGCCCTGCCTCATTTCCTTTGTGTGTGCTCTCACTTTGGTGAAGGCCTACTCTGAAGCCCTCACACTCTTCTTCACGGAAAGGGGACCCTTAGGAAGGCATCAGATTGCTGCTTTCTCTCAGCCCTCCTTCATGTCTGACTTTGCCACTTTTCAAGAAAGGCCCACGGATCTGTGGACTGTATGTGCTCATACGGACCTTTTTGTCTTTTCAATAGTCATGGAGAAGAAAGGCCAGGGATAGGAGTGCTCTCTGACCTATTTCTTCACCGAAGAGCACTCTACAAAGAACTGGAGCAGCTGTCTTTTGGGAGTCTTGATAATACAGATGAGACAAATGTCTCAACTGAATTGACATATTCCTATTTATGCCCTTTAGCAGTACCACAGATACAGCAGGCACTACTCTAGGCTAACGAAGCAGGCCTGCCACCCAGCACTCGCTCTCCCAGGCCGCTGTAAAGAGCTGGGCTGGCCTCACCATGAGCGCCCTTCTGGGAACCTCTCATTCCTGCAGCTGTTGTTCCTGCTGTCTGTAGCTTTGCAAAACTATTTGTTCCTTTTACTATGAACTTATTTAGCAAATACAGACATTTCAACATATAAAGAACAAAAAAGAGGTTAGGAATATGAATGTAAAGTTCTGTCATAGACACTTTCTCTCAGGTGTACACTGAATTTAGCGAGGTAGTAACAAAGTTGCCTTGCTTGCTGGTGTCCCCTGAATTCTCCCTCTCCGGCCCCTCCCCATTTTCCAGCTTCTCCTCTCCGGCGCCCTCTCCTTTCTGTTCTCCCCCTTTCCTTAGCAGCCTCACTCTTGAAAAATGGGCATCTGTGAGGTGCTTCTTTGATAGCCTTTGCCAACTACATCCTGCTACCTCTGCACTTCCTGATTTTGGCTTTTATAAAAACTGAAGGGAAATTGGTCTATAATTTTCTTTCTCTGTTTTGACTCTTCCTGGGTTAGGTATCAACACCTTATTTGTATCATAAAAAGAATTTGGTAGGACTCCTTCTTTGCCTATTTTTCCAAATAGTTTATATAGGGGCAGCTAGGTGATGCAGTGGATACAGCTCTGGCCTTGGAGTCAGGGCGACCTGAGTTCAAATCCGGCATCAGACACTTGATACTTACTAGCTGTGTGACCCTGGGCAAGTCACTTAACCCCAAATGCCTCACCAAAAAGCAAAAAAAACCCAAAAAACAAAACAACCCAAAAAACAAATAGTTTATATAGTATTGGAATTAATTGTTCTATAAAGTCTGATAGAATGCACTTGTAAATCCATGTGGCCCTGGAGATTTTTTCCTAGGGAGTTCATTGATGGCTTGTTCAATTTCTTTTTCTAAAATGGTGTTAAGTATTTTATTTCCTCTTCCATTAATCTGGACAATTTATATGTTTGTAAATATCCATTCATTTCACCAAGATTGTCAAATTTATTGGCATACAGTTGGGTAAAATAGCTCCTAATTATTGTTTTAATTTCCTCTTTACTGGTGGTGAATTCACCCTTTTCATATTTGATGGTGGTAATTTGGTTTTCTTCTTTTTTTTTAATCAAATTAACCAAAGGTTTATCTATTTTATTGTTTTTTCTCATAAAACCAGCTCTTAGTTTTATTTATTAGTTCAATAGTTTTCTTAATTTCAATTTTATTAATCTCTCCTTTGGTTTTCAGAATTTCTAATTTGGTATTTAATTGGGGATTTTTAATTTGCTCTTTTTCTAGCTTTTTTTAATTGCATGCCCAATTCACTGATCTCCTCTTTCTTTATTTTATTCATGTAAGTACTGAGAGATATAAAACTTCCCCTAAGAACTGCTTTTGCTTGATCCTGTAAGTTTTGGTATGTTGTCTCATTATTGTCATTCTCTTGGAGGAAGTTATTGATTGTTTCTATGATTTGTTGTTTGACCCACTCATTCTTTAGGATTATATTATTTAGTTTCCAATTAATTTTTGGTCTATCTTTCCAAGGCTCTCTATTACACATAATTTTCATTGCATTGTGATCTGAAAAGGATGCATTTAATATTTCTCCCTTTCTGCATTGGATTGTGAGGTTTTTATACCCTAATACACGGTCAATTTTTGTGCAGGTGGCATGTACCACTGAGAAAAAGGTATATTCATTTCTATCCCCATTCAATTTTCCCCAGAGGTCTACCATACCTAACTTTTCTAAAATTCTATTCATCTTCTTAACTTCCTTCTTGTTTATTTTATGGTTAGATTTATCTAGTTTTGAGAGGGGGAAGTTGAAGTCCCCCACTGGCATAGCTTTGTTGTCTATTTCTTCCTGTAACTCCCTTAACTTCTCCTCTAAGAATCTGGATGCTATACCACCTGGTGCATGTCTGTTTAGTAATGATATTACTTCACTGTCTATGGCATTTTTTTAGCAGGATGTAGTTTCCTTCCTTATCTCCAACAATTTCCCACTGACTTCCAGGTATGTGGTCATGCCCGCTGGATGGCTGTAGGTTTATTGTGTGAAGAACTATAATATGAAGAAATAAAAAGGACATTCAAGAAAATGAAGCTGAGAAAATTGAATTGTCCCAAGTAAATAGTATATAAAGGAAATTCCATGTTGGAGGAGATACACAGGGACTGATTTTCAAGATCTTGAGGAAGAAGGATTCAAGAATGCAAAAGATTATGAACTCAAAAGACATTAGTGACTACAAACTCATATGCCTTCTTTCTTTTCCATAAAATCTTATTAGAATGGTCTTGATCCTCTTGATGAAAACCAGAAGAAAAAAGGCAAGTTTTTGCAGATGACTCCACAGCAGATCACATGTTCATGCAAATGACAAAGGGGTAGAAAATCTAAGACCTCACTGAATTTACTATCTGATTAAAATAAAAAGCTTTTGATTTGGCAGAGCAAAATACAACCTTAAAGGCTCTTTTCCAACAAGGTATCACCCTACATGCATGAGTCCCTGACAGATGCCAACACACATATAGATTTGTTCCACACAATCCTCTATTAATATTTAATGCAGAATAAAATGAAAACAAGCCTGCTGAAACTGTTTGCCATTGTCATGGAGAATGATGTATGCAGAGTCCAATGGAAGGATTCCCTAAAGAGCAAAGTTTTTGGACTGTTCATATTTGTAGAGGGCAAGTACATTGACCACATTAAATCCCAAAGGTCAAAACATGACCTTCCTTGATGAGATTCATCCACATAGGAAAAGCCAAGTGGATGAAAAACGCGTATCAGATTATGACATACAATCTGATAAAGGCAATTGAACTGTTTTGGACAGGTGCTATGGCCGGACAGTGGGCTGGGCCAACAATTGGCAAGGATGGATAGAGAAGGTTAGAATGAAATTCAGAAACTCCAGCACTTTTCATGACCCCAAGCTGCTCCCAACACCAAAAAACACCTTTTTAATATAAATGTCCTGCATAGTTCTCCAGACGATAAGTATGGTTTCAAATCTTGGAATATCATGATCTCCAAAAAATGAAAAATACAAGTAACCAAGGGCAATGGGAAGATGCATGGGTGCAAATGCCTACAGGTATCAACAATGATGCTTGTGGAAGTAGTAAATCAGACACCTATAACATGAATGAAAGGGAAGGAGGTCTCCAGGGTGTTGAGTGGAAAGATCCTCAATGCAGAACACACAGGATAAAATAGGGATGGATTGGGATCTGCATCAATGGAAGGACTACACACATTATGGAATCCTAGACTCATCAAAATATCACAAAAAAAGACTGCCAAGTGCTCTTCAGATCTTACTTTCTGATATTATTGTTCTGTTAGTGTGTGTTAAATGTCATTTTATTCCCTAAGTTCCAAGTATCTAACTTGTCCCCAAACACTGAATGCAATGTCTCTCTTATGCTTTACTGAAGTGACTGAAGAATGATTCAGAAAGATGAGTTGGTGGTGTAGAGGATGTACTGTTTGGCTGTGCTGTCCCATGAGAAAATGCACGTAGCTCTTTTGCCCCGATATGGATGACTTTCATTTCTTGAGTACAGTCAAAGAGTATTCATTTAGATAATGAGTAGTACTCACCATTGTCTTGGCCCAGAATCAGGGAATAAATGCTTCGCAGTCCAAACACATTGAGGAAGTACCAGGATGCAGAACTCACCCTAGCAAAACAGGATAAAACTGAAGATATCACATAAGGAATTATGTCTCCAATGCTCAAGGTAAATTAGACTGATGAAACTGTATCCATCAAAATTTTTCTAATAAGGAAGGAAGGGCTGAGATTTGGGCAGCTTTTATAGACATGCTCATTAGCATCAAAATTAAATAAGACAGGCATTATACAAAAAACAGTAACCTTACAAATAGTTACTCACTGTAGGCAAGTAGTATTTGCATTTTAACAGGAAAAAAGACTTAAGCCAAAGAAATGAGTGATCATGGTGGCATCTCAGGCAATCAGGAAGAGGATAAGGAATTTGGGTAAAGGAGGAGGGTTTCCCCAAAACTGCTGACATCACATTTAACACTCTTCTTCTTATTTATAAGGCTGACACTATACTTTCTCTTCCTGCATTGTGCTACCTTTGAGGGTTTGGTACTAGGGAGGCACAACAACAATTCCTCGAGTAACTTGCTGGAAGTGAAGCAAGATTATCATATAATCTTATGAAAGCTTTAAAAGCATTGTGGGAGCTTTGGATGATCCAACACTGAAAGACTATCTCAGTGAACTCCAAAAATCAGAATCTCTTTTCCCTTACACACATTAAGTTCGGAGTTGAGTAAAAGAATGCTCTTACCAGGATGCATCTAAAGTGAGCAATTCAATTCCTTGCTGTAGCATGGGTTTAAATCGGAGGGTCAGAGGAAATGGAACCTTTGCTGTGAGAAAGAAAGAAAAAAGCTCACCAAAACTTCCCAACGTATTTTTAGAAAGGTTTAAGTGTTATTGTGCACAATCTTCTCCTTGAGGATATGTGAAAAATCTTCAACACATGTTTCCTTGTGAAAATGAATTTTTAAAGGCTTTTTGTAACTATTTCTAGAAGATAACAATGTCATTCAGTTAAATCAGGTTCTCTTAAGAGTAGTTATTATCTCCCTTTGGCAGCAGGGCCTAGGATTTCAACTGTGAACCAAAGACTGAAATGGACTTCACTAATCAGTTGAATTTGAAAACTGAACAGACTTCTTTTTTTTTTTTTTAACAGAACTGAGAACAGTGAAAAGTTTTTTTAAAAAACAGTAAACTAGTTTAAACCAGAAACAACTTACATATTTTCTATTGGCCTGGAACATCAAAATATTCTTTGAACCAAACAGATATTTCATTTGGTTTGAATCCCTGTTGAGAAGATAGTCACAAAGAGAATAAAACTAAACTAGCTTCCACATCATAAATGAGGCATTGGTCTAGGGTGAACTAGTAAAATTATTGTAGTTTAAAAGATGATCTTGAAAAACATTATTAAAATCTATCGATGGAACAGATTACATGGACCTTTACCGGTCCTAACAGCATTTATATTTTTCTAAACAAGGAAAAAAGTAAGGTGGTATAGTGAGAAGAACACCAGCTATGGGGTCAGAAAGTCTGTATTCCAATCCCACCTATGCTACTTACTACTTGCCAGGTATTGCTTAAGTCACTTCCTGTCTCTGGGACTCAGTTTCCTTATCTGTAAAATGAGGGAGCTGAACTAGATGATAGCTAAGGTCCTTTCCAGCTCTTAATCCAATGAACTAAAAAGAGGTAATAGAATTAATTAACACAGCATTCTATGACAGACACTCACTTGTTACAAATCCTGAGAAAGTCATGTTGATCCATCCACCAATAAGAATCATAGGAAGTACATTTGTTACATTTCCTTTCATCATGTCTGTGAGCATGGTAGGATCTAAGAATTAAACAAAAGAACCAATCACTTATCTCTTTTTTTCCCAGTGGATTCTTGATTGTTCCCTAAATGAATATTTAATATTAACTAATGCCTCACATAAGATATTATTACAAAGGTTATAAATAACTGGTTATCTTTGGCTAAAGAAATTAATACAGTAAAAGAAAAGGCGGTCAGCATAAAGTAACTTATTCAAATCTCCTTTAAATATCTGTTCAGTTTATTCTCAGAGCAACAAGACTTCACAGACATTTAAGAAACTGAAAAGAGTAGACATATTAGACAATTTCTAGTAAGTAATGCAGCATAAGAATGAAAAGGGGATGCCTGAATAGGTAGTGAGTTTCCTCTCACCAAGCAAAGGCTGGATGAATGAATGTTGGTCAGTCTTTTCCAATAATAAATTCTATGAGACTCTTTCAGAATTTTAAAACTCCCTGCCTCCCACCATTTATTTAAAGTGGAAGAAAGCTAATAAAATACCTGTCATAGGAGATGGAGGCACCACCTTCCTCTTCGTTTTTTTGAAAAATCCATCCTCAGGGTTGTTGAAATAATACTTTCGTGTCAAGAAAGACTAAAAATAAAACGGACATTTAAAAAACAAAATTCAGACACAAAATTACTAAATATAGATATGCTCTAAAAAGGTTATTATCATAATTATGATTACATGCTACATATTTTGCTAACTCTTTCGCCAAAATGTCCACTTTTCAAAAAAAAAAAAAAGGAGTGCTGACCTCCCCCTCCTTTTTTTAAGGGGTGAGGGACTATGGGTATGGAATATCATATATACTGTTAGACTTAGTTGATATGTTGGTTGATACTGTTGAACTATTTTCCCTTTTCTTTTTCTTAATTTTTTATCATAAGATACAGCTTTCTGGATTAGGAATGGGGAAATAATACACTTCGAAATAAAGGTGGTGTTGAAAACAAGAATTAGCAAAAAATAAAGTGATAGTGACCAAACTTTTTTTTTAAAGTGCACTAATCTTGGAGTGTTCATATTACTCAGCAACCAACCTGCTATCCTGGAAATCTCATTTTAAAATGAGTTTCCTAAGAAAGACACTCAAAGCAAGCAACAGGAAGCCATCAACTTTTCCATTTAGATACTCACAACCAGTAACTACCAATCAGTCTAGTCAGAGAGATGCCAACAAAAATGATTAAGTACCTGTTTGGGAATGTATTTTCCATTTTCCCTGAGGACTCTACTTCGAATTAAGACTTGACTGGAAAAAAAAAAAACACAAGACAATGAAATTATTAGAATGAAATACTGGAAAACACTATAGATATAGCTGTAAAATCCTCCCAAACACAAGCTAGGTCCAATGGCTTTGCAGGGAAAGGAAGGGAAGGGAAAAAAAAGGAAAGGAATAAACATTTATAGAGAACCTCCTATGTGCCAGGCACTGTGCTAAGTTCTTTGCAAATACTTTATTTGATCCTCACAACAATCCTACAAGGTAAGTATTGTTATCCTCATTTTACAATTGAGAAAACGGAGTCAAATATAGGTTAAAGACTTGCCCCGGGTCACACAGCTAGTAAGTACCTGAGGCCAAATAACTCAGGTCTTCCTGACTCCAGGCCTAGCGATCTGTTCACTGTGCCACCTAGCTGCCCCAACAAGGAAATATCAAAACACAGATGTTTATACAAAATCAATACTATTGCATATTCAATCCAATAAACTACTTGTAAGATTGGTTTTCAAAGTACAAAGAATTGTCTCCCTACCCTCCCACCCTCCATTCCGAGGCAGTTATATTACAAATCAAGATTTCTAAGGAAGACAGATGAGGACATTTTCCCAGGTTTTCTATTACCTTTAAGTGGGGGAAAAGATAAATTTTTTTTCCTCTGAATGGAAAGAACAGTCAGTCACTGCTCGGAATATGGGGGGAAGTTTTTGAACAGCCCTACGGATAAATGCCTACAGATCTTAAAAGCTTTTCCTTGTTTCAAAGATATACTACTATGGCAAACCATACATGGAAATTCTAACAGGATCCATTTTATTTTCCCATTCTTCCTGTTAAGAGAAACATGATATTCTTCAGTATCTCAGGGATGTATCAACAAGGACAACCATAATGTCTTCCAGGAAGAAGCACTAAGAGCGGTAGTACAAAGAACAGCAGTCATCCACAAGATGCAAGAACCAAATAGAATAGGGCCTCAATAATTCAATTCTAACTTGAAAGGTTTCTAAAATACAATCAAGGGAGAATAAAATCTCAATTAATAAGAACCCCCATTTAAGCACCGAATGTATCAAGCCCCCAAGTATCTGACAGACACAAATCATAAAAACTACCTATCAATTGCTTAGTTCTCCCACCTCTGCTTTGGTTGGTCTCCTTTACTGTCCCTTCTACAAACAATTGCTCTGCCTCTCTGATGACTTAGTTCGTTATCTCCTTCTTGACGCTTCTCCCACCCCCACCCCCAACACCTCTTCCCGTTCTCTACGTCTATTATTTATGCTTTTGCCCATTTTAAGATCTCACTTGTTCCATGAAGCTTTGCTGGGACTCTAAATTACAAATAGTATATTATATACAATTCTGCTCTCAAAGTACATGGAAGAGACAATTAATTATATTAGTAGTAGTAGTTTTGATAATGGCTGCCCCTGGCTTCTCAAGGGCTACGCCCGTGAAACTCCAGCTCTGGCAGGTTCAATGGAAAGGCTTTAAGAGCAACCCAGGTTAGGGATCACGAGTCTGAGCAGGCTAAATTCAGAGACCCATTGTGAGGCTGGCCAGAATGAGGAATCTTTCCTCTAGGGACTCTCATAGACAATTATAGAAAAATTGTGATTTGCATTAGATGGAAGATCCACACTGATAAAATTCGAAATGCTTCAAATCTTTGAAGCATTGATATTAAAAATATTAAACTGTTTTTGTTTACAAATTATTTCATGTATGTTGTTTCAAGTAAATTGAACACTCCTTACAGATGTACTGCCTACTCATGTCTCATACTTACTTTCTGTACTCTATAACATCTAGTAAAATGCTATTTACATGTGTGCCAGGCAGGTCAAATCAAAACTACAACCTTGACTACTAGCCCAAAGAATATAGCCTGGGACCTTAAGCCTAAGAGCACAGGGAACAGGACACACCCAACACCCCCCCCCCACCCCCCACCCCCATCACCGCCAGAACTGCTTCCAGCCTGGTCCTAGAAGCTGTCATGGAGGAGGGCAACACCAACTGTCACCAATAGCCAGGAAGCCCAAGAGCCTCAGGAACAGCACCTCTCTCCTCCAAACCAGGGTTCCTTTTAGCCCAGCCTTCAATACCAGAATCCAGGGAAGAGGCAACCTGGCAACTGTGTCTGCCAGTGCACCTACAAAGTTCTCATCACCAAAGTCCTCGGCACTGCCAAGTGGTTCGGTGGTTTTATTAATGGAAATGACATTTAAAAGCTGCATCCCTATCTGCTTTTCTGCTGTATCCCTAAGGACCAGAAGGCTTTTCCATATGACTTGCAGTTGAATCCTCCTCTACAAGCTATCCCCCTCTACCAGAATGAGCTCCTTGAGAGCTTTCTGCTTGTATACCTGGTGCTCAGCACACTGTTTTGAACAAAGTAAGTACTTAATAAGCGTTCTTTCATTTATTAGTTTGTATAATAGATGCATGGCAGAGGGGATAACAGAGTATTGAACCTGAAGGTGGGAAGAGCTGGCTTAAACCCAGCCTCAACTACCTGCACGTGATGTGACCATGGCCAAGGAGTCACAAACCCTGGGCTTGTAGTTTTTTCACTTGTAAAATAGGGACCATAACACCTATTTCACAGAGTGGTTTTGAAGCTCAAAGGAGATAATGTATATGAGTGATTTACAAATTTTAAAGTACTATAGAAATGTGAGCTGTTACTATTATTATCTTTTTAGCCCTCTGCACTTCTTTTGCCTATAATCTATATATGCTGTTTCTACCTAGACTACCATCATTGGGCCAGCTAGAAACCTTGGAGCTTTACCCTTCCTTCAGTATCAACTTGATCATCAAAGTCCAGATCTTTCTTTCTCTAAAAAGCCTTTCCTTTCTTTTTGCATTCATCAGCAGATTCCCCACAAAAGACTCTCCCAGATTCCCCACAGTGTCAAGCTCAACCGCCTCTGCTGGGCTTCTACAATTGCCCAAGACAAACTCCATCCTCCCTCTGGCTGCTCTTCCTGTCCCCTGTACGAGCTGTACTTGTTTTGTCTCTGTGCCTTCCTTTGCCTGGGTTATTTTCTCTGCTTGGAATCCAAGCTTTCCCTTCTACCGGTCCTAATGCTATTCCTCCTCCTGGCATTCTACACTCCTCCAACTTCTCCATCCAGTTTTTTAGTTGACTGGGGTTCACACCGAGCTTTCCCTTCTCTGAACTCTTCCTGCACTTCTAATCAGTACAAGGTAGTGTAGCCTTAATTGCTCTCTGATTACTGCACATCTGTGAGTCTGGTCTCCCTTGCCAGTTGGTAATCTCAAGAACCAGGGCCAACCTTCTACTTCTTTTGCATCTTCAACAATGCTGGGAGCAAAAAAAAAAAAAAAGGTTCAAAACCTACTGATTAATTTGAAGGTCAAAATATTTAACTTTTTCAGTTACTTATATTGTAAGCAGTTAAAGACAGATCCTCATTTGCAGCACTGAAGCTACTGCTCTTCCCTCTTAATTTAAATATTAACAATATTATCCACAAGGGCTAATACAGATTAATTTCCAAAGATAAACATTTTTTTTTTTGCCCTGCAACGCAGAGCCACAGACATTTAATGTCACCTTGGAAATTAAAATAAACTGGGATAGAAATAGGTTATAGAAGTGGTGGTTGTGGGGGAAATGGTATCAGATAAGCATCCCTGCACTCTTGAAACTCATTAATCTTGGCATTTCAGCACTTAGGACAAGATTCTGCACAGTAATGCTTGAATGTCTGCTGAAAGACAAGTTAAAGTGAAGCTTGAAGAAGGCAGGTGGAAGTAGAAGAGAGTTAATGCACATACACACAGGGTCAGGTCTTTTAAATTTATTAGCATACATTATAACAAATAGAATTTTCCTGATAACAGGAGACCTAAATTATGACCAAGTTTGACAAAGTATGTCCTATGACTTTTTTTTTATCATAGTAACTGTCATTTTCTAGATATATATTGTAGATTCCCTAATAATAATTCTAGAGGATGTGGAACTTCCATGAGTAAAAAATAAGCAAGACTGCATTTATAAATCTATCCTTTCCCTCATCATTGGTAGCCTGTGCATGTTTTTGTTAGCCAACTTTGCCTCCTGTGTCACAATCTCCAGTTCACTCTTGTGACAATGCCTTTGGCAATAACATCTAAACTTGTGTGTGATGGGGAGGAGAGATTTTTCTTTTCACCAAGTATGGTCAGGTACAAAGTGGCCCTAAATTCAGAATGTCACACGATTCTTCTTGACACACAAACCTAATCTAATAAATCACTTGTACTAGGTGGTGTTTGAGTAATGACAACCTTAACAAAGCAGACTTTGGTAACCATTCTCTTCCGAGTCTTCTCCTTTCCTGTACAAATGTACTTTAAGATTTCTGTTTTTCCCTGGGCATGGACAATTGGCAAAAGTACTTCCCATTTCCCAGCTTTTTTCTTTTTGTTCTTGTTAAGTCATGTTAGAAAGATTTTGGCTCAAGATTGTCCCTTTTTGCCCAGCAGACATGCAGGACAGACAGGAAAACTCCTGAGGGAGTTCTCATCATTCTTCATTTGAAATGTCTCTTTTCTGAATTTTCATAACTTTTTTTTAAGCATCAGCCTGTTTAAGCCTGCCCTCTGGACCAATCATTTTCTTTGCCTTTTTTTTTTTTAAATAGAATTTTCATGAGCCTCTCTGTTTTCTTTATTTCTCTCGTATGACGGTAATAGAAACGGCAACCAAACCACTAATGCTATTCCCTAGCACGCTGTAAACAGCATGTTGTTGTATAGCATGTGTAGTCTGAAGTCTCTGCTATCAGTGACCTGATTCCATGAAACCCAAGAAAGAAAAAAAAATCTCCCCTATTCCATCTCTCAGAGCTTTCCCATGCATCTCCAAATCACTTCTTTTTTTCTTCTAAGATTCAACCCAACTCCCCTTAGCCTAATAGGAGTGGACTAGATGACTTTTCAGGCCTCTTTTAGACTACTTCTATGATCCTAAGTTCCCTGCTCTGCAAGCACATATACACATACAAACATACATACACACACACATACACACTAAATATATATATCTATATATATATACATAGTCACACACACATATAAAAGTAAAGTGGCTTGCCAGTCTCTTTTTCATTTAACATCAGATTCATTTCACATGTGAACCAATGAAATTTTGACTTCAACACAAGACCTAGAACATTAAGATGAACGTGTGGACAACTCTAAAAGAAGATGTATAGTAAAAGTAGTAAGAACAAACATAACACTATATTTTATGGTTCCATTAATATTGGTTACATAATTACTGATGAACTCATAGGGGGTCATAGAAACAAGAAATACATTTTTAAAAAATCTGAAGACAGAAAATTATCATACCCCCAATGGTGATGAAATTTCTGTCTGTTATGGTCTATCATATAGTCATCTATCCCCAGAATTAAGCTGGACATTTTAAAAAAGTTCGTATCTAGGGGCAGCTAGGTGGTACAGTGGAAAGAGCACCAGCCCGGGAGTCGGAGGACCTGAGTTCAAATCCGGCCTCAGCCACATACCGCTTACTAGCTGTGTGACCCTGGGCAAGTCACTTAAACCCACTGCCTCGCCAAAAAAAAAAAAAAAAAAAAAAGTTCATATCTGAAGGACTCAAGGCTATGGAATTCAAACAGGCCATGAAAAGACATTAATTGAAAAAGTATTCTTTTCATAGCACAGAGAGTAAGACAGACAGAAACAGTCTTCATTACTGGCTAAAAATAAACCTACATTGTCTTGGGGCTATGGACACAATACACCTCATTCTTAAAATTGCACAATTTTTTTTGAAACTTTTCACCAAATTTAGAACAAGATACAATCTTAACTGCTCTCCAACCCACTGCAGCTCAGTGATGATCACAAGCCAGATGATCTTTTTTTCATTAACATCCAAAACAAAAATGTCTTCTTAGCAATGTAACTAATTAAAACTAATTATTCCAACTGGTGAAAAAAATAGTACTCCTGCAATTTCTGCCCCCAAACCCTTTTTCTGCCATTTTCTCCAATATAGCCTCTGGACTTATTTTTGAGCTCAAATCCATCCCTTCTCCAAACTTCTCTGTTTTTGTTGAGAACACTAATATCCTTCCTGTCACTCAGGTTCAGAACCTTTCAATCATCCTTGATTTTCCCTGTTCCCTTACTATCCACATCCAAACAGTTGCCAAGTCTTGTAGATTCCACAAAGTTTCTTGCACCTAGTCACACAGCCTCCATCTTAAGTCAGCCCAAGCATTACTTCTTGCTGGGACTATTCCAAGGCCTCCTGGTTTGTCTCCCTCCTCCAGTCCTGCCTATCTTCAATCCACCATCCATACAACTATCAAATTAATATTTCTAAAAAGCAGATTTGACTATCATTCCTCTACTCAAAAATCTCAAGTAACCTCCTTTTGCCTCTAAAACAAAATAAAAAATCTCACTATGGCAATTCAAGCCTTCCATAATTTGGCTACCACCTACCTTTTCAGTCTTATTTCATATTATATCCTTTCACACGCTCCATTCCAGTGGAATTGAGCTGTAAGCAGTTCCCCAGACATGCTAGTTCATCTCCTACCTCCACCATGGAAGAAGTGGTCCCCCAGTGCCTGTAACACATTTCTTCCTCAATTCTCCTACACAAAATCCTAGCTTCCTTTGAGACACAGCTCGGGTGCCACTTTTCCTGATCCCCCCAGTTGTTAATACTTTCTCTCCCTTCTGAAGTTATTCAGTATTTACAATACAAGTAGTATTCCCTCCCCTTCCCCATAAATGTAAGCTCCCTGAGGGCAGGAACTGTTTCATTTTTGTCTTTGAATCCCCAGGACCCAGAGGAGTGCTTAGCATATAATAAGTCTAATAAATGTTTGTTGAATTCGTGGTTTAATCTTTTCTCCCTGTCCCTTTCATACTTTTCACCAAGTAAGAGCCTCTGTGGGTTACAACTGGGCACTAGAATTAGTATGCTGTGGACTTCAATGTTTTCCCAGGGGCTGGGATGAGTCAACAGGGATGAGACCATAATACAGGTCTGGCCTAAGGGTAACTGTGGGAAGGATTTCTTAACACTCTTTACTTCTGCCCCCTCCCCTTCCCAGACACAAGGGCACTCTGAGCCAAAAGAGGCTAGGATGTGATGATGGGGAATGCAACAACAACAAAAAACAAAACACCCTGACTAAAATATCCCTATAAGTTAAGGAATACAGGCTCCTAGCTTGTATTCATAGGCCTCTCTTAATCACTTAGGTTTTATCTAGAAGTAGTTACAATTTAGATCTTCCTTTCAAAACCAGTTCAACTGACACCCAACCACATGGCGAAGCTATTTTAACTTCATGTTCCTAATGTAACTATTTCTGGTAATGGCATGTAAGCAGATAAGGCCACAGTGGTCCCAACCAGGTTGCTCCAGAAACCACAGGGTCATAAAAAGTGTGAGTTAGCCCAAACTTTAGAGATCATCTGATCAAACACCTCTCTTACAGATGTTGCAATTTACACTCACAAAGGTCAAGTGACATAAGTGACTTTCACAAAGTCACATTGAATTAGTGGTAGAGACTACAGAAAAAGAGTACAAATATATGTTGTTCAGTTGTGTTTGACTTTTTGTGGTCTTATTATTGGGTTTTCTCAGCAAAGATACTGGAGTGCTCTGCCATTTCCTTCTCCAGTGGATTAAGACAAATAGAAGTTAAGTGATTTACCTAGGGTTACATAACTAGTAAGTGTCTGAGGCTGCATTTGAATTCAGGTCTTCCTAACTGCAGGCCCAGCACTCTAAGCACTGAGCCACCCTAGCTGCACTCCCCCCCCATTTTGTCTTAAAATTTACAAAGCACTTTCTCACAACAACACCGTGAGGTAATGCATCTCAAGTGCTCAAACTTTTTTTCAAATATATGCAATTTAACAAGTGTTTGTTGAGTGTTTACTATAAGCCAGACACTACACAATTCAATATATAAATGCAAAATTGAAGAAACTAAGGCTCAAATAGGTTAAATACCCATTGTTACCCAGCTAGTAAGTAAGTGTAAGGACCAGTATTTGAACTCAGGTCTCCTGACTCCAAGTTTGGGAGTCTTTGTACTCTATCATACCACTTTACTTTTTACCAAAATTTTTTTCTCTTCTGTTTATGTTGAGCTGAACTTTTATGTCAGCTGAGCAAGCCTGCTTGTGGCTACCTGGGACCTAACTTGGTGGCCAGAAGGGTCAACAGAAGTCCATTTTGAGTTTTCCTACCTAGTTTTTCTACTTCTCTCCGGTCCTCCATTTTGACAACTACAAAATGAGGAAAGATATTCAGACTTATCAAAGCCCAAGTAGTGCCCAACCACGTAAAAATGTAACTGGGAAATGTTTAACAACATACATAAAAACACAACATAGATAATATTAACATCTAGTGTTCTAAGCCAATATACAGCTGCCAGGACTAGATGATCCTTCCAGTTCCAAATCTCAGGAATTTATGAACTTCGTTGGCTAAATCCTTTTCCTCCTCCGGTCTCTGGAATTCTCTCCCTCCCTCCGAGCTTCCTTCAAGTCTCAGCTAAAATTCCACCTTCTACAAGAAGACTTTCCTGATCCCCCTCAATGCCAGAGCCTTCTCTCTGTTGAGCATCCCTTCCCATGTCTTGTTTGCACCTCATTGTTTGCATGTTGTCTCCCCCACCAGATTGTGAGCTCCTGGAGGGCAGGGCTGCCTTTCTTAGTATGGCCAGCGCTTGGCACACAGCAAGTGCTTAATCAATGCTTGTCGACTCACCTCTAACCTTCTCTGTCAAAATGAAGGGGGGTTGGCGGGGTGGGCCGGGGGACAGTCTGGGGCCCAAGATTTGGAGCCACAAGGGCCCCTGGAGGGTTTTTACAGAGAGGGCCACTGAGGCCCGGCGGGGCTCCTCACCTGTCGGACACCTGCTCCTGGGTGAGCTTCTTATCGCTCTGCAGTAGGATGGACACGTAGTGGCGGATCATGCCCACGAAGAAGGTGATGAAGACGATGGGCAGGACCACCCAGAGGCGGATGTTGGAGTCCAGCAGCAACTCGGGCTCCGCCATCGTGGACTGCGAGGCTGGGGAGGGATGCCCGCGGGGGACTCCGGCCGCTTCCTAGCCTCCTTCCCCGCAAGGACCCTGAGGGCGAACAACCGCGACCTCGCCTCGGCTGCCTCACCACTCCGGGCTCCTTCCGCCGGCCCGCTCCCCTACCCTCCCCTTAGAGCCCCCGGGGCCGCGTTCAGGCCTCAGTGCCGGCGCCCGCTGATGACGTCAAGGGCCGCCGGAAAGGCCTGCCCCTTCCGGTGACGGCTTCGGGCGGGAAAGTCGAGCGGGGTGGAATCCGGAGCCGGGCGGGTGAGTGAGCGGGGCCGCCCGACGCCCCTGGCCCCTGGCCCTGGCCGAGCAGCCCCGGCCGTTCCCGTGGAGGCGGCGGCGGCGGCGGAGACCTCCAGGGTCGACCCTCCCCACTCTCGGGCCCGGGGCTGGGGGAGCAGTAGCCGGCTGCGGGAGAGGAGCGCTCCCCGGGCCGCTGGTGGGGGGGCGGGGCGGCCTGGAACAAGCCCCGGCCTGAGCCTTCTCACCTGCAGCCCCCACGTCCTTGAGCCTGGCCGCAACCCAAGGACCTGGGTTCAGCTCTCCCACCTCCAGCTGCTAGTGCCCCTCACCCCCATCCCCTTATTAATAATACCTGGCATTTACCTAATAACAAAGGGCAACATTTTTAGGTCGACTACCGTGTGCCAGGCATTGTGCAAAGCGCTTTAAGTCGGAGGTATAGGCTTTTATTATCCCCATTTTACAGATGAGGAAACTGAAGCCGAGAGAGGTTACGGGACTTGATTTGGGTAACGTTAAGTGTCTGAGGCAGAATTTGAACTCAGATCCAACAGACTTCAGACCGTGCTCTCTTTGCGCTGTGCCATCTAGCTGTCTCTGCTATCTATTTTGTATGTAAGATCTCGATTCCAGATTAGTGTATTGATAATCGCTGTATTTTTTAAATCAATCATTAACCTTTTGCACCTATTTTTGGTAAGCTGATCTTTTGCTTAATGAGTGAATGAAGCATTAAGCATTTATTATATGCTAAGTGCTGGGGATATAATAGAAAAGTAAGGCAGTCATGTATGTAACATAGTACTTATATAGGTACATGTCTTCCCCTGGCTAGACTATAAGCTGCTTAAGTACAGGCTCTGTTTTCTATTGTTACTTTATATTTCCAGCGACTAGCACAGCACCAGGCACATAGATGAAATAAGTAATTATGGTTTGATTGAGCTTTATGTGGTTTAAAACTGCACTAAGACTTGGGAAGATAGATAGAAGATATAGATAGATACATACATACAGATATACACATATACATTCATATACATATATACACGTACATACAGAATACACATATATACATAACTATATAAATATATTCCCCTTGTATTCACGGAACATAAGATTTTTGAGAATGAAACTATGTATCTTTCTTTGTACACACATGTGCAACATAGTCTCAGTTCTCAAAAATCTTATATACTGTGAATATCTTAGAGTTAATTGACGGCCAACTTAAAGCAAGAATATGATATGCCAAATAGATGGGGAATAATGAATTACTAGATGGCTCAGTGGATAGAGTGCTGGGCCTGGAGTTAAGATCTGAGTTCAAATATGGCTTCA